CTTAACTTTAGTTTCCGGTTAAAATCCAAATATTTTCAACAAGATCCACGGTAATCCTTATGGAACTGATCTTTTGTCTTATAAAAGAGTCAGAGAATAGCAGCTCGTAATGAGAACGCTAGGCTCCGTTGTTATGGTCGAGATTGAAATGCAAAGTCAGTCGAAATTGCGCGAAAAAGTTTTAAACTAGCAATGAGTGTATTTGCATTTGCGGCAATCCATCGCTAGAGAATCCTAGTTTTATGTCTTTGTCTCCATCTGACACATACTGAATCATGAATCATGAGTTTATGGGGGTAAATAAAATCTTATGGAATCTAGGGCTTAATTCTAGGTGAATTTCGACCGTTGAAATTAAAATTACCATAGCGGCATATGTTCAAATAGAATCATACCCCTGGTGGCCCTAACAGTTAATAAAGTATCATAATGAATAATTATGATTCCTGAATATGTATTTTTAGAAACTGTACACTTTGTTTATCAAGATTTTGTCATTTTTAGAATATTTATGCACTGCTAACTTGTAACTACGCAAAAGATTCTAAAACTGGAAGGTATATTTTGAAATCTTTTTATTTGTGGAAAATTTGGGACTTACGAGCATTTACGGAATAAAAAATATATTGAATTCAAAAAGCATTTCATTAACCCATTCTTCTCTTTGAGGTAAATGTATGTTAAAATTCCGTATACGCCCACTTACTGTATACATTAGTGAGCTCAACTGCAGTTTTATCGAAAATACAAAAAACGGAATGTGAGATTACGTGAACGCGGTGTCCGACCCGGCGAGTCAGCTGCTGCATTATTGTGAGTGGATTGTGGACTAGATATTATGTAACTAAAGATATTTACAGATAACAGCGAACAGGTTTTGAACTAATTTCATAATACTATTTGGCGTGGTGTACTTTAAAGTTTACCTTTTTCTCATTTTGCTGTACACTTTCGCACTACTTCGTTGATTAAACACATTCGAGAAAGGAAAGCCACTCAGTTCCAACAAAAAGCTTGTGACTATCAGGGACTGTCAAATACAGTCATCCAGACAAATACTGATACATACTGAATTAATCTGGTCCACTGTAAATGATCGTTTAGAAATCATTAATGGAAAAACCTATAGATGTATGGTTAGATTAGATTTTTTGTGAGTGGGTCAATCACGATCCTCCACTACCACTGACTGGTCTATTGTGTCTCACACCTATTTATATTTCTCTCAGTAACTATGACCTCCTCAGGAAGTCGATCAGCTGATTTGGAGAAATATCCTTCAGGTATCCCAGTAGTACCACTTCCTTAAGTGTATTGTACCTTGCAGATCATTTGCACAAAACGTGCTTGACCGTTTCGTATCCCTCCATCCACAGTCTGCACTCAGCCTCTTCCGCCATGCTTAGTCTTCTCATGTGGTGACACAATTTCCAATGACCAGTGTATCACTAAAACATTAAGGCTATTCCTATTTAGCTGCAGGAGTGAGTATTTTATCTTCTTTTGTTAAGATTGGCATAGCTGCGCTAGCATGGATAAACCCTGATAATCCATCCCAGTGTTGATGGATCCTCCGTTTCATCTCAGAAGGAACTATTTATTTAACCGTAGTGTACGCGATCCTTATTGCTAGCTCAGGCCGTATAAAGCGTGTGCTAGCCCCTCTCTTTAGCAAAGTGTCGGATGTCTCGTTTCGTTTTAGACCTGTATGTCCTGATATCCACATGAGACGTACTTTATTCCTATCTCCTATGCCACCAAGAACTTCTTTACCATACTAAATGTCAAGTAGGTGAAGTCAAATGATTTGAGCGCGGCTTGACTATCTGAAAAAATATTTATGGTCCTGTACCTCAGTTGTCGTTCTGCGATCATTCTGGCACACAGTTCTATAGCGTATAGATCCGCTTGGAAAATTGATCCTCTGATTCCTCAATCTTTAGTTTCACTATGAAGATACCATGACCCAACACGTACTTTGATCTTGGAGCCATCTTTGTATGTACAGATATCTTTGCTTATTAGACAAGCTTGTTGCTCCCACTCATTCGTTTGAGGTATTATTACTAGATATCTTGTTATTTTTGGCATTATGCCACAAGGCATCTGCAGACTGTGTTGGTTTTGTATGTACACCAACATGTCCGTATGATGTAGTCTTTAAGTTATCCTTCTTGCCTCGCCTTCCAGGTATATGTGCAACGAAGGTAAATTAAGAAGAAAATCCATAGCCGGAGTTGGTGTGGTGTGAAAAGCTCCAGTAGCCAACATGCAAGCTTCTCCATGTAGTTCGCTTAGTTTAGCTTAGACAATGAGTTATGTTGCCTTGACCCACCAAGCTATAGATAGATTATCATAGGTCGGACGACCACGGAATGAAGCCAAAGCCTTTGCTCCCCGGTTCTTTCCACAGAACCTTCGATAGTTCTATAATGACATCCCTGCCTTCTTTCAGATGCGAATTCCCGTTATTTTTTTCACCTCGGATTGTTGGAAGTTTAACTCTATCCAATTCTCTCTTTCTAGTGAAAGGTACCATGACCACGTTTTGAGGGTTGATTGACATTATTTCCTCTTCCCCAATCTGATCTTGCGGTCAACATTATCTGGAGCGTTCCTGAGATATTTTTCTCAGATTTATCCTTGACCAAGATGACTATATCATAAGTATATGCATGAACCTCAGCCTCCCATAGGCGAATAATGCCAATCAGGTCATCCACGAGCAGCGACCAGAAGAGGGGCGATAGCATTCCTCCCTGTGGACACTCCCTGGCAGTTCTAAACGAAATTGCCTCCCCCTGGAAGGACGTTCTTATTGTTCTGTATGTTAGCATCCCCTGATCCAGCTGCAGATCAGAGGATCTACGCCCCCGGCAGCAATCGATTCATAGAGGGATTTTGGCAGGGCATTGTTAAATGCTCCCTCTATGTCCTAAATCATCACAACAGTGATTTCCTTGGTCTTCAAGGAAGCTTCAATACTCGCAACCAAGTTATTGAGAGCAAGATCTGTCTAACTGCCAGCCTGACAGGCAGACTCATGCATACCCAGAGGATGCTTTCCCAAAGCCTCCTCTGCTATGTACTCATTCTTTTCTAGGTCGTTTAGAAGAAATGAGGAATGACTAATTGGTCTGAGTTACTTTGCCGGGTTTCGGTATACAGGGTGGCGCATCGAAAACGCAACAGACGCATTTACTGGCAGCTCAGTTTTTTTTTTGAAAAACGCTCAGTCCCGTCGATTTTGTTTTCGAGGGGGACACAAGTTTGGCAAAAAATCACGTTAGCACATGCAGCCCCCTAAGCGGGGGTGACACCACCCCCAAAATCTTAAATGGAAATGGGGCTCGAGTGATACCTTATTATAAAGCTCTTTCAATTCCCTTTATAATGATATAAAATTAATTTAAATCAGTCCAGTAGTTTTGAAGATTTATTGATTTAAAGCTTAAATAAAACTAATACATCATCATTAGTGGAGATCAATACATTTGGCAGTAAAGTAATTTAAAAATGAAGAATGAACTGACCCGTTAGGGAAGTAAATTTTGAAAATGGCCACCATGACTCTCCATGCAATAATAAAGATTTTGCTCAAAACATTGCCGCACATTTTGCAATATTTAAGGAGTAATTTGGAGGCACTCATTCACAATTCTTTGTCGCAGGTCTTCTAATGATGTTGGTTGAGTAGCATAGATCTTGCTTTTTAAGTGACCCCACATAAAGAAATCCAAAGGTGATAAATCTGGCGATCTTGGGGGCCATTCAATGGCACCTCTTCTACCAATCCATCGATCTGGAAACGTCTGATCTAAATATTGTCGAACACGTAATGCGTAATGTGGTGGGGCACCATCCTGTTGGAACATCAACCTATTCGCAATGTACCGCCGATCATTCTGATTTTCAATTATGGCTGTTAATGCAGGATCTAAGGCGTCTTCCAGTAATTCCAAATACATTTCACCGGTCAAATTTCCAGGTAAAGGAAAAAGGACCAACTAAATGATCGCCAAAAATACCAGCCCAAACATTTAATTTTTGTGGCTGCTGCGTATGAACCTCATGATAAATTCTGGGATTAGAATCGGACCAATATCGGCAGCTATGACGATTTACTACGCCACTTAAGAAAAAGAAACATTCGTCGGTATAGCAAGTGTTGAATAGAAAATGTTCATCGTTTATAATTTGTTCACTCATATCTTCACAAAATTGTAATTGCCGATCAAAATCGTCTTCATTAAGTTCTTGTACTAGGTGAATTTTATACGGATGAAAACTATGGGCCTTTAGAATCCGTTGGACAGTACGTCGACTAACACCACACACAGTCTCCAATTTGCGGGTACTTAACGTAGGATCTACATAAACTTGCCCTAAAACCCCCAGTTCTATTGCTCCGTTCCTTATGGGATCTTCAATGCTGCGTTTTTTATTGGCGAGTGACCCAGTTTCCCGAAATTTAGCTACAAGTTGTAGAACATATAGCGCACTGATTATTTCCGAAAAATATTTCGATAATTTCAACTCTTTCTGCTGTGGAATATACCAGGGTTAATTTATGTAATAAAGCGTTACAAGTTATTTTAGCAACAAAGTTTGGTCAAATCAATCGCAAACTATGTACTAAATTCCTGTGTAAAATAAGTACGAGATATTTTCTTATCTTTCTTCAAGAAATAACTTTTTTGCCACAAAAAAACGCTCCAATAGCTATTTTCAACAACAAAATGATAAACAACCATGGGCGTAGTGGAGAAAAGCACTGCCAGTAAATGCGTCTGTTTCGTTTTCGATGCGCCACCCTGTATGTATTCCGCATCGCCGGTACTCGTTGATTCGAGAAAGTTTCGGTACGCCACATAGAAGCCAGTCCAGAACCTTCGATGTCACTCTCGCGTCGATTCCGTAGGAGAGTCCCTGGCGCGGTACCCAACAGATGTCGCTAGTAGTATCACTCATTCTTCTTACAATATTGATATACTTTGCAGAGTCCACCAAATCCCTATGCGTTTGGCTTCGACGTCCAAGATGACCATTACACCAACTATCAAAACCGCAAAGAACAAAGTGATGGAAAGAAGATAACCGGAAGTTACTCAGTTGTAGATTCGGATGGATTCTTAAGAACTGTGCAGTACACGGCGGATCCAAAAGAAGGCTTTAAGGCTGAGGTATATCACATAAACTTATTCATCCCTTTTGCTGAAGTGAACATCAATTCGTCAAGTAAATTGAAAATTATGTAGCATTGATAAATGAAGTCTAAGTAAAAGCATGAAAGTGTTTCTAGACTAAAACAAAAAGGAATGGAGGTGCCATAACATTATATCGGCATAATCACGCTACATACGTTTATATTTTATCTGACTGATATTTTGAGTGATTTAAAGTATCTTAATTCAACTTTCAGGTAACTAGGCAACCAACAGATATTAAAGTGAAGATTCCAAAGCCACTGCCGCAGTTCCAGACTCAACAAAAATATGCCCACCAGGACCCCCAGCAGTACCTACAGGTATATTGCAAATACCTATGGCATTTTAGGCGTTTTCAATGTTCCAGTTATCGCCAACATTCAGAATATACATAACGTCACTAATTCAACCGAGCATCCAAAATCGGATAAAACCTATTTTATTTGTACTCGTATTTACAGAATTTCTAGAACTGATAACATTTAGAAACTTCTGGTTCAGCTTATTTTGTACCCAAAAGGCTGTAGTATAATGTACAACTGAAAATATTGAGGAATGTGGAAAGTTTTTCATCGAACTCGATAGTAATCAACACGGCAAAATTTTCATCACACAATACGGTAGTTTCAAATTTTTTGATTCATAAATGCACAAAAAATTAAGCAATCACTTCCATATTTACGATTATCAACTGCTTCGATTACCTCTAAGCACGAACGTGAAAATCTTTTATGTTTTTATTCTGCAACGGTCTTAAGAAAGTTGGCTTTTGTTCCCACCAAAATAGTAATAAAGATGTCTAATTTTCGTAAGATCAATCTCAAGTAACCCCCAACTTATAAAGATACATGAGTAATGCAAGTGAGTTGTGTAATTTTTCTATGCATCTTTTTGATCTTTGGACTATCCTAAATAAAGAGATTTCTCAAATTTTTCGAAAGTTGGCTATAACTAGAAAGAAGTGTTACATTTATCCATAAAAAGGGACTTTTTTGGGGTTTCTCTTGAGAATGGGTATTTTTTCTCAAACTGTTGCATAAAGTGGAATTTCTTGCGCCCAAGAAAAGATAGAAGCACTCATTGAACGTTATTGCCTCCAGTGGCGTGCAGTAAAAGTTTGCTACTTTGACATTATGTAATATAAACACAATTTATAAATTTTACTATGCAATTAAACAGCTTAATGAACAAATCCAAGTTACTACTCTTAATATAGAGATGTATTCCAGTAGCGTAACATCAAAAGTATTTTTTGATTTGGTAAGAAGAAAAAATTATTTTTCAAAATGCTATAATGCTGCTATTCATCTTTTATCTGATATTTTTTTATGTTTCTCATTCAGCATTGGCGTACGCGTCTTCATTGGGGATGTTTTCCAATAGGTCTATTAAATTCTTAAACAACATCAAAGAATTTATTGATTAACATTAACAATATGTAACATTTTAGACAACAAAAATTAGTTAGACCAGTTAAATACCTAAATTATATAATTATGACAAAAAGGATTTTTTTACAAAACATCAACAGTTATTTCAAACAATATTGTTATTACCTTGTATGGCCACCCCGCACATCGATCACAGCATCTGGCATCTTCGTGGCAGACTTTCCAGAAGGTCATTAATAAATTCTCGGGATACGATTTCTCACTTTTCCAATGTTTGAGGACCGCACTAAAAATTTTAGCCGAGACCACACATTAAGTTTAGGTCTGGAGATTTTGATGGCAGAGGCAATAATGTAACAGTATTTTCTGGCAAAAAGTTTATAACCGTACGAGCTCTGTGCAGCCTGGCGTTATCATCGATGAAGACAAAATTCTCCCTAAAATTTTCTGCAAAAGGTACAACAATATTGTTTAAAATGCTGTCCCAATAAACCGCAGCATTGACTATCCTGTTTGAAATAAAAAGTTCGGTTGTACCATTGTGCATAATCCCAGCCCAAACAGTAATGCCACCTCCACGAAATGCCTCTCGTGGAGCCATGTTTTCTTCATCATATCGTTCCCCAGCTTGTCTCCAAACAAGGACCCTATCATCACAGTAGTATAGGTTGAAGCGTGTTTCATATGAAAACAATTAAGCCGCTCCGTGCCCATTAGTACCTAGCGACTCTATGATTGTTCAAGAGTCGGGAACACTTGGCGCGACGCCTTGCTTTGGAAGAAATGCTACTTAAAAAAAAGTACCTAGCAAATTTTTTATAACATTTACATACCTTATTAAATTAGAATTTAAAGGTCTTACAGTACGGATGGATGCTATTATTCCACTGTGCCGCCGTACGTTTTCATTCAAGGTTCTGGATGAAAGGGTCCTTCTTTGCCTTACTTCCTGCAATAAATGCCTTTAGGCTATAAAGATCAAAAAGACGCATAGAAAAATGTCCACGATCAAATTTTGAGATTCTGGCATAGCCCCAAACTTTGCTAGAAAAATATGAATTCATTTGCTCACCTTGTATATGAGGATAAATAAAAGAAATATACCGATCGAAACCTGTACGTGTTCTTAAATTCTTCAAATTCTCCCGAATACCGCAACTCGATATATTTTTCTGTTTCAAAAATATCGAGATTAGAATTTTGGTAAAGCAACTGTCCACCAGTTTAGATACTTTTAACTTCATATCTATTAAAACAAGTTAATTATAATGTTTGAAGGATTGTCGACGTTATCAAAAACAATTTCCCTCTGATTACTATTCATCTTTTATTTTTTATTATTACAGGAAGTTCCGGTACAAAGAGGAGAGCACCACCAACAACAACCAGAGTATCAACAATATTAGGACATTAAGAAATTTTTGAAGCCATTCTGTACCTACCTTGATGTTCAAGTACAAATGCTTGCTCATCCTCACTTTATATCACTTTATGATATATGTGAAAAGGCATATTTATACCACGGAAAATTTCTTATAATGATCTGCGATCTCCTATAGCAGAAACTGTTTGGAGTATTTTTTGGACTCCAACAAATCTCATTGTTATGTACTTTTGTTATTATAGGATATTTTTGTAATTTATATCTTAGTGTAATACATCCGTTTTTACACATATGTTTTTTCGTCTGAACGTCTTTTATTGAAAAAAGCTGAGCTATATCTGCTGGTTCATAAAAAGCTCATCAAGCAAGAAAATGATCTAAGATCTTAGCGTTGCTGTATGCTACGAGTATATCTAAAAAAGCTTGAAATTTCGCTTACTAGGAAGAATGTTTGATTTCCAAAATACATGCAACGCGAAAATTTTAAACGTTACATTTCTCTGAGATTACCTATAGTATATTCGCGTATATATATATATACGTATATACAGGGTTATCCAAATTAAGTGTCCACCATTAGTAACTTTGTTATTAGTGAAAATACAAAGTTGTTTGAATTAGCAAACTAGTAGCATTTTTAACGCTGGTAAAAATGAGAAGTAAAAAAAAACAATTGAGAGTCGTTATTTTGATTTTTTTCAGTAAAATAACATTTTTTTAAATGGAAACCCCTGTATATTATATTTTTTTCTGTTAAAGCATCAAATTTTAAACAAAAAAGTTCATAATGACTTTTCCGCTAAAGTCAAAAATAAAGTCAAAATAACGATAAATATTTTTAATTATTTGCAGTATTATAATATTAAGACGGCTATGAAAACAACATGGCGTTCGCGATTTGACAGCATTAAGATAAGCGACAAATTGTTAAACTGGACATACTCGCAACTAGAAGGCTTTGGAAAACAATGATAAAATCAAATAATGTCAAACATTAGTGTAAATACTTGTTTATAAGCTTTATTGTGTCATTAATTTAAAGAAAAATGTTCTCCCATGAAGAAAAGTGTGATATGTTAGAATGCTATTTAGTGTGCAGAAAATCCTCCTTGAGAGCAAGAGAATACTACAGTGAATTATATCCCGCTCGCATTCAACCGTATGAACGATATTTTCTGAGACTTTATCGAAAATTTAGGGGCAACGAAAATGTTTTTGCTAAAACAAGGGCAAAAAAAGAATTCATAATAAGCGAGGCCACGGAAATTGCAGTTATTGGATATTTTGAAGCTTATCGTGAGAATTCAATAGCAGATATTCTCAAGGACTCTAATTTCAGTTATGGTACTGTTCAAAGGATTTTAAAAAAATACAAATTTATTCCGTATAAGTACCGACCAGTTCAAACGCTTTTGGCAGGGGATCCAGAGAGAAGACTTGTTTTTTGCCATTGGTATCTTAGCTTCTGTCGCCAAAATGTAAATAACTTTCGTTACCTTTTATGGACAGATGAATCAAATTTTTCAAATTCTGTTTAATAGAAAAAAACACCATTATTGGTCAAGAGAAAATCTTTTGTTAGTACATCCAAGAGGCCCACAAGTCAGTTTAAACGTTTGGTGCGGTATAATTGGTTCAAAAATTGTTGGCCCGTTCTTTTATGAGGGAACCCTAACTGGTGAAAGATATGTGGAATTTATGTCAGAAATTCTGACTAATTTCTTAGACGAATTGGATCTTATAAGTAGACATCATCTGCATTTTCAGCAAGATGGCGCACCTGCCCACAACTCCAGAGGTACTTATCATTTTCTAAGTACTACTTTTAATGATCAGTGGATAGGAACAAATGGCCCAATACAGTGGCCTCCCAGATCACCAGATCTAAACCCACTTGATTACTTCTTGTGGGGTTACTTAAAGAACCAAATTTACAAGCGAAGGTACGATAACCCTGACGCATTAAAGACTGCAGTTAGGGAAAAGATAACCCAGATAGATGGTAGGACCATACTTAAGACAGTTCGAGCAGTTGAAAAACGTGCCCAAAAATGTATTGAAGAACAAGGTGGTGTTTTCGAGCATCTTCTTTAAAAAAAATTGTTATTGTATTTTGTAAGATTATAAGTTGATGTTGAAAATAAGGTTTGTCGATACAATTTAATTGTTTCAGATTGGAGGCCATAACTTCAACAATTTGTAACCTAGGAGAAAAGTTATTGTAAGCTTTTTTGTTTAAAATTTGATGCTTTAACAGAAAAAAATATAATATACAGGGGTTTCCATTTAAAAAAATGTTATTTTACTGAAAAAAATCAAAATAACGACTCTCAATTGTTTTTTTTTATTTCTCATTTTTACCAGCGTTAAAAATGCTACTAGTTTGCTAATTCAAACAACTTTGTATTTTCACTAATAACAAAGTTACTAATGGTGGACACTTAATTTGGATAACCCTGTATATATATCATGGGGCATATGTAAAGTTGGATAAGCTTGTTTTAACTTTAAGTTATAAAAACTTACTGGCTAAAATATAATAGAAATATTAGTTTTAAATCACAGACGAAAATACAGGCAAGAAATAAGCAGTATTCGAGATAAATTGGATTGCTTTATATTTGTTATATAGGGTGTGTAGCAGGAATTAAAATGCGCGCCATTCAGACGGTTGGTGTAGCGGAAGGTAGTGATCTTGTTCGAGAGGCGGGACTATACAGTTTTTTCCAGACACCACCAAACGCTATCATGCGTTGGAAAGGTGAGGAGACGGTGGTTTTGTCGTTGAGATACAATTTTTGAGGGGATGCTCTGTGATCGCAACCTAGCGCGCCTTTCGGAATCGCTTTAATTTAGCCACGTTGGCCCTGTCCCAAAACCGGCAGAGTTATTACGTAAAGAAACGTATATGATGTCAAAAAAACCCGACAAAATGTCAACTTGCTCACTAGTTAGTTTCTAGACACTCAACGACACGCTCATTGACAAGCTGTGAGTCATTTCCCCAGCATGATTTGTTGGGTGCAGAATATCGAAATAGTCTGTGAGAAGATGTGACAAAGGTGGTCGAGTAATATTTGCTATGTGAGAAAATGATTACTCTGTATCAGACAGGTTATTTGTGTTGTCCTTTCTGAAAAGAGGTTAAGTTCAAAGTTATAAATCGCGATTTCTCCATTTTTTTGCATTCTCAAACACTTTGAGAAGCATTACGGGAAATTGCCACCGCGCCCGCATTGTTCGTAATTAAGTCACATCACAGAAAATATAGGAATAACGCATCACATGTAAAACATTTTCGCAGTGCCTCACATTATAGGCGCTGACTTATGTCTATTCGACAACGCAAAATAAATTTCTATAAAATTTAGATGACTGGAAATAGAAAATAATGCAATATGTAATAACTTCACGTTTCATAAATCTGGGGCATATTTTCTCATCTCTTGGTTGTAAGATACTTCACCAAACAAGAACTTTCTTGTTTGATCTCTCTCATTTTTTAAATTCAGCAAATTTGCATATGTAATTTAATCTCAAGTAAGTGTATTAGAGACAAGAAACCAACGGAATTACCATCAACACAGATTAGTACCACACAAATCCTCACTATTCACCTATGCAACTTACAGCTCAGACCATCAATAATGCCATATCTGAAGTGACAGTGAATTTGGACTGGTATATAATAAGTTATGTTTTCCACGATTAGATAAGTTGGGGCACTCACTTCAAAAGCATCGATTGCTGTTTTTAGGGAACACGCAATTAGAGGCGATTTGGCGTGGCCGGCCCACTCTCCGGATTTGGTCCCATTGTGATCCTGTGTTTATGTCATGTTAGAAGATTTGAAGACCAACATCTCGGAAAAAATTGCCAACATAACGCCTGCTATGCAGGCAGGAGTCATAACAAACATCAGAAATCGGTTGATCCTCAGATCTATGTAAAATACAACTTTAGGTATGCGTCCACATTATAAAAAATCCAATAAAAATGTTCTGATTCATACAATTAAGTTTTGAAAAATGGAAGTTATGCAATCGTATCATGTATGCAATGTGGCAAGTTAGCCTTTTATTGTAGTTCTGCTGGTTTTGTGGTCACTTTTTCTTCTGCGGTTCTATGATCCGAAACCTATCCATTTCTTGTCCGGTTTGGATATAAGTTCTAGCGAAACTTTGCTTATGTGACTTTGCTATAAAAAGTTTAACACGGTTTTGAAATTTTGGGGTTAGCTTCACGTCAAAAATGAAAAAATAAGCAACCTGTCATGACTGTCTGCAGTCAGTACTATCAATCTACCACGCTTCACTTTAGTGGCCATAAACATTCTGTTTTCGTCGAAATTTTTTATTTGCTGTCGCAGTCAAGAATAATGTGACGGAAGGATTTTTGTTGTACTAGAACCTCTCTCTTTGTAAGGGAGGACGCGTAACCTCCAGGGTGACCTAACACTATATCGCTGGTTTTTGAGTTCTTGCTCCGCAGATTTCGTCAATTACAATATTTCTCAAGATCCTCATAACACATTTGCTATAAACAAATATTTATTTTGATACTCTACAAAAATAAATGCTAAATCAATTCAACATGTGCATCTATTTCACATAGTTACACTTTTAGTTTTTGCTTCTTCCAATGCGGCCAACGGTATCGTGCCTTCTCTTCCACTTGGTGTCTTGCTTCTAATCTTTTGACTCCTTTCTGCAACTAAAAGTTGAAAAACAATGTAATCTATGAGTGAGATCTAAGAGATAATCTAGACTTCTGTTAGACATACGGAGAATATATACAACTTCCAAGTTTAGGCAACGTAGACAGGAGTGAAAGTTTGATAAGACTTTTTTCAAGAGTTTGAGGTGAGTCCCTGACGTGAGAGAGAGGCTTCACTTGGATTGCTAGATAACTTAGAATAAGAAATATTTCTTGAAGTCATTTTCTCTAAAATAAATTATCTAATATCACTTCATCTCAAAATGATTATAATTTACAAGATTGATGAAACATATGTACATTTTATAATTATTTGCCATTACAACAGGTCTAACAGAATATTAAAAGTTGATCAAAATTAATGTCATGGAAATGAATAAGGGAAACCACAATTTGCGATAAAGTGAGGAAGTAAGTTTTTGAGAAAGAAGTTCCAATTTAATTAAACAATTAATGTGTACGAAGTACGTTTATTCATGACATTCTATATATTTTTTACAACTTTTATGGTAAAATTCTCGAATTCAAACAATATACCTAACGTGAAAAATATGGGTATACAACAGGTACACATATAGATGTAAGTAATTATTAAAGATATCACAAAAATATTATTAGCTAAGCTTAAAAACAACAGAATTAATTACAAATATATACATACTTATAAAATAAAATAACATGCAAATGGAACATCTGACGTTTGGTAAAATGACAATCAGTTTAATATATTTAAGATGCTGAGCACAAGAAGGTACGCTGCACTTGAATCTTAAAACTAACATTTCTTCAACACATTTATAAAAGCTTGTTTCTACATTGGTATAGTTCCAAATCTCAAACATTGAAGTCAAAAACTTCAAAGTTAACCAAAAAAGTGCCTGCATACATCATATATCGGTTAGAAATTTGTTATTACAGTGCTATTATTATTGGACAACAAACAACAGTAACTAAAATGCAATAACAACAGATATATAAAGTTACCCTAATGATATGCATGCTGTAACAGTAGTAACGATACAAGAGTTGAAAGTTGGTATTTCTATATAAGTATATTTCATTTCCAGAGTAACGACATGTAACCACAAATGCTTAACAATACAGGTAATACTAAAAAGATATTCTTTCATTATTGATTACAATCTTATTAGTAGAGGTAACAAGTATTTGAATAATTTCAATCAAGGTATTTCAAAAACTACATTACAAAAGTATTTCACATCCAATATGACATTTGAGTACACGCCGTTCACTTAGTGTTATGCACACAAAGTAAGGAAATTATTTATTTCGTAATGAACAAGTTTATTTATTTTTTCATTGTGGATTAACACTTATTGATTAAAATGAACATACTTTGATTCGCTTATGCGACGCCTAGTTGAAAACTTTAATAACTACAAAAATTATGCAAAATAAAACATCGGGTTTTGAAACACTTTCAAACGAATTATTACGGTGGCAACATGTTTAAATCTAAATAATCATGTCTGAAATATTTAGGTAATACATTAAGTAATGGCACAATAATTCGGTAAAAAACATATATTTATTATTTTGGTGATCTAGTGTAATTTTTTGTTAAACACCTATTAAAAAAGCAATGTTGCATTCAAAATTTAAGTGACGATCAAAGTATTTACTGATGAATAAAATCATTGCTGGTCCTAAATGTTAATATTTTGTACAATGAAATAAAATAGAGTGAATGTATTGCAACAATATAACACCTTTTAATAATTTGAAATATGTAATGTAATATCTCTAACTTATCCTGTGGTTTTCATGTCAATAATTCCCATGTTTGTCTCCAATTAAGCCACCTATGTTAAAAATTCTTTATTATATACGTTTCAGCCCGTTTTTTGACAAAAAGTGTAAATTGTACTAAAGAGGGTCACAATTGGGTTCAATAAAAAAGACTTTTAAGCACATGTGGTATTATTGGCCACACAGGCATCAGTGATTATCGAACAAATGTACTAAGGATAATAGATCTAATTTGGTACGTTTTGAAGCCAGATGCAAAACAACTGCATCAACATTTCATTATACCTGTAAAAATCGCAATCAACAAAATGTGTTAGTACTACTCACATCCAACTTATAAGAAAGTTTAGCACTTAAAAAGGCACATTCTTTGACTAGTACAACCAACAAATTTTAGAAATGACACTTCTCACCTAAATTATCCTTATCTTCATCTTTCTTACAAATAACATCTATATTTTCGTATAACGGTTCAGTATCATCTTTCTCTTCCTTTTTATCTTCTAATTGTTTATTTTCATTCTCAGTATCCTCTTCTGATACTTCCTTTTCTTGGTTAGCAGACCACTTTGCATCATCTTGTTTTTTACCATTTGTCTTCTCAATGGATGCTACTAAGAAACTAGACTTTAGAGTCATCTTAATTTCTTTATCTATTGCTTTATCCACAGCCTTGTCAGCAGTAGCACTTGACGACGTATTATTGAGATCCTTCACATCAGAGCCTAACTCTGATTCAACGATTTTGCCTTCTACTTTCGCTGATTTTTCGGTTTTACTGCTTGTGTCGATGCTTGGTATTTCTATATCACTTACAATATTTCGGAACTCCTGAAGACCAACTATGAACTCAGATTTGTGCGGTTCAGCAGGCAGTTCTACCACTTTTTCAGTGATTTTTGCGCTAGACTTCCCGTCGTCAGAAGAATTATCCAAATTTTCGGAGATGGCTGTCTCCAGCAGTTTTTCACACATTTTGGCATGATTTGACACCGCATCGATATCAGATAATCTCCTTGTTAGATCGTTCACTCCTTCAGAAACTGTTGTCTTGACTTTCAGTTTTGCTAGTCTTTCTTTACGTTCCTGTAATGATTGTAGCTCTTTGTTAATCTTCTCTGTAGTCTGTTTTGCTTCTTTTTCTAGTACCGATAGAATGTCTTCGACTGAAGCGGATAAAGACTCATTAGTAGACCTTTTGGTTGCTTCGGGAGATTTAGGTTTTGGATCTTTCTTTGGACCTAATAGTGTTAGCATATTCCGAGTATACTGTTGGTTGGACATATTTGAGGACACATTTTCCTTCTGACTGTAGGCACTAGGCCAAGTAGTAACGTACTTGGCATCCGGGTCACTCATAGAACCTTTCCTCGTTGCAGCTATCCTATTTTCTTTCTCTTTCAATACTAGTCTAGCAATCTGCATGGCATCAGCTATGTCTGTTAGACGACAAAATTCGTTTTCCATATCATTGTCATTTCTTTGGTCAAGTATGTTGCGTATATTTGCAGATTTAGATCTTTGAGCTCTCTTCTTTTGGAGATACCTTAAATTAGAGGTAGAAGTATCGGTATTGCTATTTACGGGTAACACAGGCACCTTATTGGTGTCTTTACGCAGATTCCTGAAAGCCAAATCATCTTTTATGATATCGGGTATCTTTTTATGCTTGAATAGAGGTCTATAAACAATACTTTCAGGCTTAGCATGCAAATAGTCATTAGAAGATCCAACAGCAATAGGTCCAAGAGGTATACCGAAAGGTGGTTGCGGTTCAATCACTTTCAAAGACGTATTTGCATGTTTTATGTTTCTATAGAGGACATCATCATGCGTTATGTCAGGCTCCTTAGAGGTGTTGTGCAATAGCAACTCTTCAAAGTCATTCATGTTCATAGGAGAAGTCATCAAGTAGCTAACTTTTGCAACTACTGATTGTGGGTCATTGATGGTGGTAGATCTCTTTCTATAAAACTTTCTAAACGCCATATCGTCGTCTTTTATATTGGCGCTGCGTTCTTTCCTCGTCAGCCTCTTTTTCTTGGGCGCAATGTTATTATAAGGTTCGTATGAAAAGCTAGAGTCACTCAATGCTCCTCTTGCTGAGTAATTCGGATGCAACTCACCAATATAGTTTGCTTGTGCTTCTTTTTCTCTTTGTTCAGCTCTTTCAAGCAGATCTTCATCACCAAGTCTCAGACTATTGTAGATCTCTTCTAATTCATTCAGCGCGTCTTCTAAGTTAGTCGGCTTTTTCGAGTCTTGTTCATTAGATTCTAGGTTAGAGTTAGCTGAATCAAGTGAAGGTGATGATATTAGGTTTGGTTTTGGAGATTCACCATTTATGTTAAAGTTATTATTGATATCATCGCGATATTGACTAACCGGATAAACCTCTGTTTTGGCTTTGGCAGTGATAACAAACATCTTAGGACTTACAGACTGTGGACAATTCAAAACAGATGAATTGGTAACGTTATTTTGATGCTCGATCTTTCTCCATGGAACAGTAGATTTTATAGTTTCCTGAATAAAGATAGGTCTTCTACTTCTAGGACTCTTGCTTGTTAGATAGTCAAACTCATCAAACTTATTCATCGTTCTAGATGTGTCTGCTGTTACAGACGTTGGTATCTTATTCCTATGATTGTCGATATCGTTAGATCGTTCGTCATCACCATTCAATTGATTTATTCTATGAACAGACCTTGGTGAATCTGTTTCTATAGATGTTGAAAAAGGTCTGGTAGCGTAAAGATTCTTTGGTAAAATACAGTCTGTTGTATATCTATGGTTAAAGTACGAGTTAACATCACTATGTCTTTTGTTCCTACCTAAGGAACTATAAGCACAACTATCAGGTCTTCCGTTATTGACCCTATTTGGATCCCTAGGAGGGGGTGTTGGAGGGTGCTTATATTGCCAGTTATCTCTGAAACCAATACTGCTATATCTGTTATTTTGCTTCATAGGTGTTTGGATCACATCTTCGGATACAGCTCTGTGGATATTAGAATCGTAAGAGTAACTTCTCAGTTCAGGAAAGTTTTCTTTCAGGAACTTATTGGGGTAGTAGTTGGAGGGCATGTATTTGGACTCGATGGACTGGCATCTGATGTTGCTGTATGGACATGGAGGAGGAGTTAGTGATGCAACGATGTTATTATCTGGTGTAATTAAATTTGGCATAAGAGGACTTCTGCTGTGCGATCTACTACTATCACCACAAGACAGTATACCCAGGTTAGACTTTTCTGTATCAGACTTTGAAAGCTTTAAGTAGTTATATGGATTCTCGCCATCTCTGGACCGTCTTTTTAGATACCTTTCTGTTCTAGCAGCTCTTGTTTTTTTGCTTATCGTCTTGGATTCATCCGCGAATTTTTTCAACGAAGAGTTTGATTCCTCTTCTGAGCTAGACGCATTTTGAGGTGTTCTTCGAGCCTCTGCTCGAGCTTTTGCCTGCTTTCTTGGCCTTTTATTGCGATCCACAGATGCAGTAGTGAGTAGATGTTTAGAATCTGTAATCCTGTCATCATATACCTTTCTGGTAGCTATGCAGTTATCACTTGCATTGGTATATCTGTGCAAACCCTCTGTCGGATCTGAGAACACACCACTGTCTTCATGTCTATACAAAGTTAATGATACAGGAGTCCTAATTTCTGGTGGTATCACTATATGATCGAAAGTTCCTACAGTTTTATGTGATAATTTTTTCTTAGACTTTGATTTTCTTCTGCGCAACCCGAAGAAGTTCTTGTGTGAATCTTCTTCGCTGCTAGTATCGGAGTCTTCTTTTTTCTTTTTCCTGAAAATGCTGCCAATGGACCATTTTTTATCTTTCTTCCGTAGTTTTTCGGGCATTTCGTAACTACAATCGACGGTTCTACTTATTGGTGATGCGAAGCTTGTATTGCCAGTGTAGATGGAAAATTCTTGCGTACTGTTCATTTTCATTCATATGCTGCTTAACTCTGGAAATAAGAAACGAATGTTAGTATCTATCAGGAAGGTTGGAATATTTTAGAAAAATGGACGAAGGCCGCGGTCCTACGTGGGAATCCGGTTGAACCTTAAAACTTGCATATCTAGCATGCTTTTTAGCAGGATTTTTAAGTTTTGGCACTCCCTGAAAAAATGTATTACTCCCCGTCCTTCAAAAAATTTTAGGGGCAGGTACACCTTCACAAACTGATAATTGCCCCCTCCCCCTGAGAAAAATTCCTGCCGGTGGCCATGAACGCTAACACATATTAAATCGATATCTCTGAATGACTAATTACATCCTCATCATCTTTATTTTATATGAAATAATACTTTCTCTAATGAGACATTTTTTTCTTTGGTACACTACTATGGTATGTGATAATATTACCTACGACGCCGACGTAATGTTTCATTTCTAGAACCTCTTATAAATGTACCAACATATTTTCAATGGGGCATTTTCACCGACTATAGCATGTATGGACTATAAATATAATTAAGAACACGTTTTCGCTGAATCAAAATACTATAAAACTACTTTGAATTCATTATTGAACCTGATGGTTAGGTCACCTGTCAATTATCCATATCAATTGTAATATTCAACGCATAGCTATTATTAATAAAGTCAGTTTATTGCAGACTATAGTTTCACTATTTCATCCTGAACATTGTATTCCATCTCAAATAATCAATTCCATCTGCAATCGCAATTTCATGTAAAAATGAACGTATAAAATTGATTACTTTTTTGTAATAAGCAATAAAGGTAAGTGTGATCAAATAATTGACTTATCTTGAGGCTTAAAGATCGTCCAACAGGCTGTACCATAACCAAATATAAAAAATACAAAAATAAACAAACTTGAAACACCATATCTGATTTTTCATCAGGTCTATTGGCCTTAAAACTAAAAAGAAGACGAGCTTCAAAAATAACTTGAAAATATATTACAAATTTATTTAGACAAAGTGTAAGTTAGTTCAACTACTTATTTTTATTTATGGTTATGTCCGACAAAAAAGGACAATTTGTCGAATATTTGCAATTCAAACAATGATGTCACCCTTGACATCATAATCGAGTTCTCTGAAAGGTTACTTCTTTGTAGAAAAAATGAGTCAAGTAGGTCGACATTGTTCTTCCATGTTTTAATATACATTCTGCATCTGTCACATAATTGTATTACATATTTTTTATTATATCGACCTTTTGCACATTTTTGTATGTTCTGAACCCAAAGCGTGTGATCAGTTATCTATATCTACAGAATATTACCGGTGTGTACATAATAGACGAATCGAACACGCACAGTTAGCATTCCCCTAGGATCAATCGAAAATAGTTAGGGATTCATCAAGTCAAGTAGGTATAGCTTAATATTTTCATAAACTACTCGACAATAAAATTACTTGAAACGTTAATGCTTGAATTGATTTTTTTTTGTTTTACTTGACTTGTCGTAAAGCATTTTCAAACTAATGATACTTGATGGCAATTGTATTTTTGCTCTGCTGCATTTTATTTTTTAATGCAAATGATCATGTAGAAAATCTAAAATTGTCACTGCCATCTCAAATGACGCATGTTTGTACACTGCGTTGCCTAACCAAAAAAACAAGAAATCGACAGTGTTGTTGAAATTCGGTCGATTCAAAGATAAAATCGGTAGGAAGAAAAATCAGCGACAGATCCTTTGGGCCAGGCAGCGCCATCTATGAAAAGTATATTTTCGTATAGCGCGGGCGCACCACACAACACAGATACACAAATTCTCTATAAATATAAAAATAAGCTAAAATTGAACCTCCTCAAAACACAACTCGACAACTAATTTCACGTGTTTTTACAAGAACAAAATATAATGTCCATACATCTTTAGTTATTAAACATGTATTATAACAATCACACCTCAAAAATAATTATGATATACGAGTGTGGTTCAAAATGCGGTCTGTTGTTACCATTGTTTTTAATTTCACCAATATTATAAGTATATCCGATAGGACCCTCATTGCCTTAATACATGATTAGCGAATGATAAGCTAGTTCATAATTTTTCATTTTTTTGTGTCAGCTCATGAAGAAATGTTATTTTTTCTACTTGAGTTTAGAATTTTATCGTTCTATTATTGCTTATTCGATGAACAAATTATTTTTTCAAGTTTTTTCTGCAAATTGTGACAAATAAAGTATTTCCGTTGTGAAGGTATTTATAATATAATAATACCAGAAACTGTGTGTACTTTTTTCAGATCATATAAAAAATAAAGTTGATGATGGTTTCTCAAAAACGAACCGTCTAGCAGAAAATTTAAAAACACCATCATGCGGTGCCTAAAAAGTGCCAATGGAAAAGTTTCAGTAGTTTTTTAAAATGATTTAGCCAAATTATGGTTTTATGACATTGTTACAAGTTTCTCAACGGCAAGTAAATAGGCCGCAAAGGACGAAACTTTTTCCTAATTTAACCTAAGCTGTATCTCTCTCAGGTATTGAGATCTTGGACGCCCTGCATACTCGTATTCATATTACATAAATTATCAAGTAATAAAAAGTATATGTCAATATTAGATTGCTAATACCTAATACTTGAGCTTGACTTGATTTTAAGTCAGAACAAGTCAAGTAGTTTGAAAATCAAAACAAGCAGTGAATCCTACTCGATAGCTACAATTAACTAAGAATTATTGTTTATTTTATCAAGACGGATAAATATTGAACCATTCGACATACTTTTCTCAATGGTACATTAATTAACATTGTTGTAACTACTGCTGAAAGCTTAAGGTATTCACTTAGTCCGGGTCTCTATACATCATTATCCTGTTAACGTAAAGAGGAAAATTATTTTGTATTTTGCTAATATTTGCCAATCAAGTAAGTTTTACCTCAAATTTTCAAAAAACAAAACTGAAACAGTAATCCGTCTAGGTATCCAACTGTAATAAGGCACTTCCGGTCGCACCAACAACACCAAAACAATAAACGTCTATTTTTGACAATAAAAAACACACACACGCACTGAGTAACTGAATCACTCCTATATTTTGGATCACAGTTGGCGTTCGTTCGACGAGAGACGAAACTGAATGACGTATGAGCGGGCCCCAACACATGAATGTATGAATAAGTGAGAGTATCGCGGGATGTAGGACCGCGCCGGCGAGCATCTCCCGAAGTTCCGACACGCGGTTTACTCAGACATCACCGACTAGTGATGTATGGATTAAGTCGATTTTCAATGGATCCATTTCCTAAATGATTGTAATCACCCGAATATTTACGAAAGTATCCTTATTACAAAGATACCACACATACTGAAATTAAGACATGTTGCTACTAGTTATGAGATAGGATAAGAAAAGTCCATCTAACAGGATCAAAGGATGATGACATTAACGAAAAGTTCAAGTTATAAATTCTTAGGATTTGGTCAACTTGAATCATTTTTTAATGTTTCGGCGACTTTAAGCGCCATCTTCAGGTACATGTTAGTTTCTAGAACCACTCACCCAACACATAATACCTTGAAAAAGAAAAAATGTAAAATTAATATACAGAAAGACTTACTAAATGGTGAAAATAATTACATTTCTGCCAGATAGATGTTGGTAGTTTGAGTGTAGGTCAACGACTGCTAATAGAACTGCAAAAACAAAACAAACGAAAACTATATATACAAGAATATTATCCTTTTACATTGAGTGGCTGGTATGGGTGGAAGAATGAAACAGTATTAAATTTGTTAAAAAGACAAAACATACTAAATAAACTTGTATATATTTGGAATGTCTTCAATTTTATGGCATATGTATTGCCACTTTTGAGCTGTTGATAGGTCAGAAAAATCTAGATACTGTATACTAGTTTACTTAGCATCATAAGTACCAATAACCAGTAACAAGCCAGTAACAATCAGTTTTAGGTAAAACAAAGTATTTTTGTATTTCATTAGTGTCATAGATTATAAGGTACGCATACATGAGGACAATATTTGCATACATTCGGTGCAAAGTTGCCTGTAGTTTTCATTAGAGGAGACACATAGCTTGGGATTATATATCTCAAGATGACATAAATCACCTCCACAGAAGCATGCCCCGAAAATGAACGAATGTATCGGTATCAAGGTGACCCAACACATTGATAGCGAAGTCTAGCGATGCCGTAAAACTTTTTTAGTCGCGACTTCCTATAGCTTATGTCTAAATGTATATAAAATTTCATTTGAATAACATCATTTTTTTCTGAGTGTTCTTTACCACTGAGTATATTTGACAAATCAGGCTATGAACCGATTCTCTACAAGCATCTCTAGTGTTGGCCCGATTCATTAACGGCAAAAGTATACTTTTGGTGCGACGCGATACTGACGCCGCTGCCGCGAAAAGATGTATTTTTGACTTTGACGCTCGCATGCAGAAGCGGAGAAAACAAGAAATTTTGTGGGTTCGCCCCTCATATGAGGTTTGGTAGAGTTTTTAGCACATGTGTTAAGAAAATGAAGGATAGAGTGAGACCAACATCTCTACAGTCTTTTCCAAAAACGCCCCCTCCTACTTACTTTGACAGCTGGGTATTTTGGAATATTATTTGAAGGGATATGTGATACAATTTTGAAGCTCCTGCTTCTTTGTTTATAAGAATACAAATTTATTCATTCACTGGCTTTCAAGTGGATCTGACATTCTGTCAATTTTTTCATCGCCTATAACCCAACAACCAAGCATCAAAACGCTAATCCGTTAGAGGAGGCCGATGATATAGTTATTTTTTAATAACAGTGATATATGATATCGTTACCATTTGGTATCAGTGATTTAAAACTGTGACGTGATCATGACTTGAATAACCATGAGACTATGGGTATACTGATATCCTGAGCATAATGCCGCGATCTAATCGCAAGGAGCTACTACCAAAGTCCATAAGGCACGACATCGCTTATAGGCCATAAGTCGTACACGGAGGTATAGTTGTAGTCACCGTTCTTGGCGGGTCAAAGTAAGACTACCAGTATCGCTTTATATATCCCCATCTACCTCATACATACACATGCAACCTACCTCTGTCGATGAACGTTTGTTCGGTAAGCTCAAAGACATACGTATTTTAGTTGTGTGTCTCCGTCTAGAAAACTTTATCGTTACGTATGAGTGCCCTTCAATCATATTTGTCAGAGTGACAACTTATTTGACATCGGCGTGCAAGTTAAGTTGTCCTGTTATCAATCTTCAATATAAGAGAATGAAAACAGCGATCCTCTGTTACCCAGTTCATGCGTACTGAAGAGAGTAGTAGATGCGCTGAAGCTCAAGATCCGCTCATCGTACGGAGACTCGATCTGTTTACTTATATCATATGGCGTTGATGACGTAACTCACAAGAACCAATTTCCAAAGTCGTGATCATGTCACGCTTTTTCACGGTATTTGGTAACAGTCGTGAATCGTGATTAAGAAATATCAGTTATTAAATCACAGTTCGATAAATATTTGCCACTATTAATATCGATCTTCTTCTCTTGGGATGATCTATCCGAATATGTAATGAAGTATCGACCATTCCATTTTAAAGAAAAGGCGTCAAACCTGTCAATTTGTTTAAAAGGGATGTCCCGTGTTTTACTGCACATTTAAAAAGACCCTTTGATAATTAATTGTACAAAACGTTCAACTTTAGCAGACTGTCAACGGATTAATATTCTAGGGTTATAAAGTACGCATAAGGAACTTCAGAACGAGTTGTTACATGACTCATGATTCTATTAAAAAATGTTACTAGACGGTGCACGGAATATCCTTATATTAGGTCCCTACTATGAAGCACAAGATACACAGCTCCTTGTAGTTATTTGCTTGACAAGTTATTATCATTATCCTTGATATCTTGTAGTGCAATTTTGATTTACTTGGTATTTCCCTCTATTCCCTTGAAATTTTGACTGAGATTTTAGGTTTCTAGATATGCCTGGATATTTTTATGTCCAAAAACACAAGATTTTGGTAGCTATAGATACTACACAATACGATTTATCTCATAGACTGTTCAGACTGCGCCATTGATTTGTGCACCGTGATTATTGAACTACTTTTCAGCGCCGTCCAATGAGCATATATCAAAATACACGAAAAATCATTCGCAATGTCCAGGACTTTTCGCCTTACCCTCGTAGATATGCCCTACTCCGGAACAACTTAACAGTGTAGTGAAAGTTAGTCGAAGAATTTTTATTGCAATCCCAGCTTATCAGTCTGTAGGAATATACTGTAATTCGAAGTATATTACCTAGTTTTCTACATTCTATAACCTGTAGATAATTTTTAAAAAGAATTGAAAATGTGATAGGCATCACTATGCACTGGCCTAAGAAATTCACTTCTTGAGAATTTTCAAGTTCTGGGATTATTTTCTTCGTAACTTCGTAAATGAATGTGATAAATGCCTGCTTTTTTCGTTATTATTTAGCTAAAACTTGAGAATTAAGTATCATAAGGTCAACTAAATCAAGTATCAATTTTAGGTTCTGTTCTATTTGAGGCAAAATTAAGGAAGCATGTAGTAACAGAACCTCGATTAAATATTTGCAGTTAATAGCTGATAAAGTACACACCTTTTTAAGATACTACAGAATCGGAAAAATGTTTTTTCTATTTTTAAAGAAATTGCAAAGCTGTTGAGGTCATGTTTCTATCATTTTAGAATGTAATAATTGAGTCAATTGAGCTTCTGATAGTTACGCGTCAAGTTTTAACTAAATAATAACGAAAAAATGAGGCTTTTATCTCTCGCATTCACAGATTTATGAGCAAAATAAACTCGGTATCCGAAAATCAGAAAAAAGATCATAACTTCTGAACTAAAAAAAAATAGTATCATATACATAGGGTGCTCTACTTTTGGTCTTCCGATTACCCTGTATATGGTACTTAAAAAATTTTAAATGATTACCTCAAAATAAAATAAAAATTGACACTTTTGTTTTTTATCATACTATTTCATATATATAATGAATAACACTATAGGAATGTCTTAACAACCACATAAAAAGGGATAGATAAAGTTTTGAATACAAATCTTGTACGCTATGGAGTGCTGTAACGCTTTTGCTTGTAATGATCGAGCGCACGGTCATCAGTACAAAAATACGACCATTGTCCTTCACAAGTAGGATGAATGTATATATAATAAAACCGAAAATTAGACGAATAACTATGAATATTGTAAAATATTTAGCTGCGAACACTGCGAATTAAGTCAGAAAAACTTGCGAAATACATCGAAACTCTCACTCCCACAGAACATACAGTAATGGACAAAAGTATATAGACAAATATGAATATTTACCTAAATACCTTTAGAAAACGAATTTATACTTCATTGCTCCATAAACAAATGCGTTATTAGTAGAAAAACTAAATTCCTTGTTTTTACATTATCTGCAATGAACACAATACAAGTCTGAATATAAGCACTTTTTTATGAGGGACAAAAATATGTAGACAAATTCTTTTCGACATTAGTTTAGTACAGTTTCGTGTCAGAAGAGGATTAGTTTGTGTTCATCAAGTATTGTGGAATAATTTGAGTGATTTTAAAACCATGCCGCGTGGTCCAGAAATTTTTTTCGATGTGAAAACTAAGATCATTGAGTTATACAAAGATGGTCAACGTCAAGTCGACATTGCCAAAAATTTGAAGCTGAAGCGTAAGGCACTTTGGGCAATATTGAACAAATATAAACAAAAAGGTATCTTAGAAGCCTCTAAGAGAAGTGGTCGGCCTAAAAAACTAAATGCCAGATCAGTTAGATTAATAAAAGTAATTTCGTCCAAAGATCCGTTTAAAACCCCAAGACAAATAAAAGCCGAAATCGAGACAAAAGGAATTGTCAGTGTTTCTACGAAAACTATAAGTAGAAGATTAAATGATTTGAAGTTATATGCACGTCACCCGAGTAAGAAGCCGCTAATCTCGAGGAAAAACCGTAACGACCGATTACAATTTGCACGGTTGCATCTTGAATGGAGCATCTGTGACAGGAAGAGGGTATGTTTCAGTGACGAATTCAAGTTCAATATGTTTGGATCAGATGGTGTTCATTAGGTTAGACGCCCTAGTGTACACTTTGCCCACTGTCAAACATGGAGGCGGGTCTGTTATGGTTTGGGGGTGCTTTTCGGGGTTTGGGATGGGACCTTTACATAGAATA